TATATATATATATATATATATATATATTCTTATTCAGTATTGATAATTGCGTATTGATATACTTGTATTCAGCTATCTTTTTTTCTTCATATTGATCTTAATAAGCATAAATATAAATATAAATAAATATAAACATAAGTATAAATATATTATAATGATTATATATATTATATATGTTTCCTTATTCAATACTCAGACCTAGTGCTACTCTGCAAAGTAGAAGAGAGGCCGCCACCTCCCTCAGACAGTGCAGCAGCAGCAGGAGCAGCAGCAGGTCCTGCAGCAGCAGCAGCAGCTCGCTGCGGCTGCGGTTGCACCTGCACATATCCTGGTGCAGGTTCCTCTTCACCAAGAGCAGCAGCAGCAGGAGCAGAAGCAGCAGCAGCAGCAGCAGCAGCAGACACGGATTTAATGAGCTTCTGCTGCACTGCTGCATGCGAACCCTCGCCTCCTTCTTTTTCTTTGCCGTCTTCTTTTTCTGATGTCGCCGATATTTTGCGAGAAGCTGCTTCTTCTGGAAGCATGCCTTATCCTTGGAGTCTTACAAAAGTTGTTATTGCAGGGCAAATATACGAGGTGATCTAACCCTAGGGTTTAGGGTTTAGGGTTTAGGGTTTAGGGTTTAGGGTCTTTTAGGGTTGATGCGGCAGGCACTTAGAGGTATTTAGAGGTTTGTATTACTTCATCTTTCTAAAGATATTTACTCCTTTTGGTGCTGTTGCTGTTGTTGCTGCTAATGTTGCTGCTGCTGTTGCTGTTGTTGCTGCTAATGTTGCTGCTGCTGTTGCTGCTGCTGTTGCTGTTGTTGCTGCTGCAGCTGTTTTCTGTTCTGGGGAAGAAGCAGCAGCGACAGCTGCGCTCTTTTGCGTGGGAGAGGGCGAGAGATTATCTCTTTGCTCTCGTACTGTCTTTCACGGCGTAAACCCTAAACCCTAAACCCTAAACCCTAAACCCTAGAGCTTAAACGGAGTGACAGCACCGCACGGAGCTCGAGCCGCTGAATTCGAGGAGCCGGCTAAACCCTAAACCCTCAGCATCTGTCTTCAAACCCTAAACACTAAACCCTAAACCACTACAATGAGGTTTATTCTGTGGCTTGGGGGAAACCCTAAACCCTAAACCCTAATTCCTGTTTCTATTCAAGTGTGCACTCTGAAGACGCAAACCGTTGAAATGCATAGCAAACAACGAAACCAGAAAAGGGTTTAGGGCTGAGGGTTTGGGCTTCAGCGTTTGGGGTTTAGGGTTTAGGGTTTAGGGTTTAGGGTTTGCGCAGGCCGCCTATAACGCTGCAGCGTTTATGCGAAGTGGTATTGAAGCCTCCTCATCGCGAACTGGAGAAATTTTATTTTATAATTAGAAAGGTGTCTATACACCCTAATCTTTTGTTTGTTTGTTTTGTTTGTTTGTTTGTTTGTTTTGTTTTGTTTTGTTTTGTTTGTTTGTTTTAGTTTGTTTGCACTAGATATTTTTGTATTTAACTTCTTTTCTCTCTCTTTGAACCCCCTTTCTGTCTTTCTGTCTTCAGTATATCTAGGGTTTAGGGTTTAGGGTTTAGGGCTTAGGGTTTAGGGTTTAGGGTTTAGGGTTTGTGGCTGCAGCTACTCCGCGTTCGCGACTGCAGCGACGAAGCACCTTTGAGGGTTTTGTTTCCTCTTGACTCTTCGCTTTCCCAGCGCCTCGCTGAGGCAAACGCTGTAAACCCTAAACCCTAATAAACCCTAATAAACCCTTATTATGCTTAGTGAATTCTAATAAACCCTAATAACCTCTTATTGTCATTAATAAACCCTACTATACCCCGCTAAACCCTAATAAACCCTTATAAACCCTCATTAGCCCTTGTAAACCCTAGTAAACCCCAATAAGCCCTAATGAACCCTAAAAAACCCTCATAAACCCTCATAAACCCTTATAAACCCTCATAAACCCTAATAAACCGTAATAAACCCTAATACACCGTAGTGAGGCCATTGAAATCCTTCTAAACCGCTGTAGACCCTAGCAAACCCTAATAAACCCTAATAAACCCTAAACCCTAACTCTGCCCTGATATGCCACCGGGTTTTGGTGAAAGAATAAGGGTTTAGGGTTTAGGGTTTAGGGTTTGTGGATCAGGTATCGGAGAAGCTAAGGAATGCCTCAGCGGCTTTGTTTGGTGGGCGCGTTAGGGTTTGTGGATCAGGTATCGGAGAAGCTAAGGAACAAAGAGGCTACTGCGGCTGTGCGTGCTGCGGGGATTGGCTAGCAGAGCTGTTGCAGCAGCAGCAGCAGCAGCAACAGCAGCAGCAGCAGCAGCTGGAGTCGCGAAGAAGCGTCTCCGAAACAGAGTCTGATTCCGCTAGCTGCGGGTTTGCTGCTGCAGCAAAAGAACAAAGAGACAGCCTCTATGAAAAAATAAATGACAGCAGAAAGAGAAGCTGGGGAGAGATGCATGATGCTGCTGCTGATGATGAAGATGATAATGATGCTGCTGCTGCTGCACGTAAGAGAAGACTTG